GTTCCTACTGCATATTTTCACTTGAAGTCCCAGCCTGGCATCTGTGGCATAAGTATGGTGAAAATACGTGCCTCACGCTACAAGAAGGACAAACATTAAAAGCAAAAAGTTCTCACTTTCATACAAATAACTAAAAACAGGAAAACGTTATCGGAAAAGTTTCTAAATAGATTTTTAAGTTTTCTTTGGAGGCACTAGATGCTGTTTTCCTAGCTGCAATGTGAGAGACGACCACAAAGAGAAAAAAAGCTCCTCTAAAGCGGATGGTTTTACTTCCTCCTATGCCAGGGTGGGAGGAAGCTCCACGCTACACCTGTTCCTGCTCTGGCTCTTGCCCCAGGGCTCTGCAACACGCAGCCCGGAGAGCCTCGTCCTGGCATATTCATTCATTTGCACCCGACTATTCGTTCACCTGCTTTCATTCAGGAGATAACATTTCCCCTCAGCTCCTGTACAACCCAAACGTGTCTTCATCACCAACCAGCATTTTTTAGGAATCTCCTATGGATTCTCTCATCTCAATTATTTTCACATGAAGCTTGGTTTAACCATTTCTGAACTGCCCAGCTTTGAAAAATGCTTCTTCACATGAAAGGGAATGCAAAAAACTAGAACTGTTGGCTCAGAAATGAGACCTTTTATTAAACCGCCTCGGAAATGGCAAAAAAAAAAAAATCATTTTCGGTACACTTTTAGGCTCAACAGCAATTCCCATGAAAAGGTATTTAAACCCAAACGCTTGCAAAGAAGTTTGCAAAGGCTGTTTTCCTGAAAACACTGCAAAGCCCGAAAGCCTGCAAAGAAGCTTGCAAAGGTGGTTCCCATTAAAAGGTATTTAAATACAAAATCTTGCAAGGAAGCTTGCAAAAGCTGTTCCCCTGAAAAGGTATTTAAACTCAAAAGCTTGCAAAAGGCGGTTCCCCTGAAAAGGTATTTAAATCTGAAAGCTTGCTAAGAAGCTTGCAAAGGCTGCTTCCCTGAAAAAAGTATTTAAACCTACAAGCTTGCAAAGGTGGTTCCCATGAAAAGGTATTTAAACCCGAAGCTTGCAAAGGCAGTTCCCCTTTAAAGGTACTTAAACCTGACAGCTTGCAAAGAAGTTTGCAAAGGCTGTTTCCCTGAAAACGCTGCAAAGCCCAAAAGCCTGCAAAGAAGCTTGCACAGGCAAAGCTTGCACAGGCAGTCCCAGTGAAAAGGTATTTAAATGCAAACGCTTGCAAAGAAGCTTGCATTGGCTGTTTTGCTGAAAAGGTATTGAAACCCAAAAGCTTGCAAAGGCAGCTCCTGTGGAAAGGTGTTTAAACCTGAAAGCTTGCAAAAGCGGTTCCCATGAAAAGGTAAAATTTAAATGTGGAAGTTTGCAGAGGCTGTTTCCCTGAAAAGGTACTGAAACCCAAAAGCTTGCAAAGGCAGCTCCCGTGTAAAGATGCTTAAATGTGAAAGCCTGCAAGGAAGTTTGCAACGGCTGTTTCCCCTGGAAAGGTGCTTAAACCCGAAAGGCTCCCGTGACACAGGACTGAACCCCGAGAGCTCGCCAAGAAGCGCGTCTCCACC